CCCGCCAGACAAACGTCGCGAGATTCAACTCCCACAGGACGTTGTCACCCATCGGAGAGAAGAGACACCCGCCAAAGACATACAAACATCTCCGTACACCTGCTCCACGGCTGCTGTCGTTGTCCCTGTGCAACGACGGCGCCGGATAAACAACGGCGGTGTGGCAGTAGCGCGATACCGGTGTGTCTGCGATAGGATCATGCGGGTCCGTTCCGCGAGTCTCCACGCGCCGCCACTCAAACGTTCTTTCGTCCAGCAGCCAGACATCATTGACGGAGATTACAGAGTGACCACCAAACAACACCGCTTCTCCGTCTGCCGTGGGCGTTAACGTATGCGAGCGACGAGCACTTGGCCACGAAGACCTGGTAGGGACTGGCGCGGTGTCAGACGCTGAAGGCAGCGAGACGTCGTGCACAGTCGGCGGGGCTGTACACGCGTCAACTCGGCGAAACCCAACGGACTGCAAGTCCACAAGCTCAATGGTAGAAACAACGTAAAGGTCACCAAACCACGTCGTGTCGTCAGAACCGCCGAAAATAATGACACCACTGCCGTTAAGCATACGGTGTGCGGTGTGGCCAAACCTGCCACACGGNACATCCCCGGTAGCCCGAAGTTGCGTGAACCCCACCTCCGCTTCCGTGAGCTGCAGCACCCACACATCATTTAAGCACTCCCCACTCCGCGAAACGCCACCAAAAAGAAACAGCATATCAGGCTCTATTTCCGTGAGCGAGTGACCATGACGAGCCACGGGACAGTGACCCTGCATCCCCCGCTGCTCGGCGCCAGCAACGCCTCCATCGCACTCGCCACGCCAGCAGCACCGCAGTTGCCGGCAGTGCAGCTGGTAGGCGGCTATGGGCACGCTACACGCATCATCGGCAGTGGCAGGCGTGGGAGCGGGCTCCACGAAACCCTCTACCTGGTCCGTCCCCATCCGCTGAGACCAGAACACCACACAGAAAGCACCGCCCGGCCACTCCTCCTCCCAGGTCAGACAATGACTAAAAGCGAGAGTACCACACTATCTCTCGGACGCCCAAGGCCCCTCACCTTCCCAGTTCTTGTTTCTGTTCTACTCCATAGGACACAAGAGAAGAGAAATAATGCCAAGCGCTCCATCGCACAGAGACACCAGAAACAGGAAAAGCATCAACAAGGGCTGACGTCCAGCCAAGGCGTTAAGTCGCCTCTTTCTTTGTTCCTACTCGGCCGTCGATGTGGGCCTCAAGCTAGAATCAGCAAGCACCCTTCCGGAGTGCGCAGTTCGAGCGAGGCACCGAGCCACCAACAGCGAAGAAAGGAAAGCCACGCTCTTTCTCGAAACGTGATGCCACGACGGCCACCCAGAAACCTCAACAACGGGCCATGAGAAAGATGCAAGCAATAACAAACTCAGCGTACACGACGCAAGCAGAGAGGAATGAGTGGGTGATATAAAAACAGGGTAGGTATGATGATGAAAAGCAAAAAAAAAAAAAACAGAAAAACACTCAACAATTTGACCGGTGGCCATCGCCTACGAGCAATCCGTGTATTGGCCTGGGCGTGTATTTAGGCACATGTGCCTACGAAACTAGGACACCGGTTGATGCGAATTCTCTCGCTGGCACAAGTCCTCCTCATCCACAGGGACATTTTCTACGGGGCGTTTGCCGTTACCAAAGAGCTCTTCGATCTTCTCAAGCGTGAGCCCCCTAGTTTCCACCACGAAGAACTGAATGAAAATTGCAGACAAGGCGATGCAGCCACAGACGACGCTGAAGGTGCCGCCAACCCCAACGGATCCCATCAGCAGCGGAAACACCTGCGAAACAACCGCATTGGATGCCCAGTTGCACATCGTCGCAACGGACGCCGCAGAGGTGCGCAAATGGTTGGGGAAGATCTCACCAATCACAACCCATGGCATTGTCCCGAGGCCGGGGGCAAAGAAGGCAAGGTACAGACCAAGCAGCGAGAGGAAGACCCACCCGCCCACAGAGTACGACACCTGATTGCCCAAGCAGAAGCCGATCGCAGTCATGACCACAGTGATGACGAAACAACCATATGCGCTTAGCTGCAGCAACAAACGCCGCCCCCATCGATCCACAGTAAACGCCGTGAAAACCGTAAACACAGCATTTACTCCAGCGAGTGGGATGGACAAAATCACAGGCGATTTGGGGTCATCGAAGCCCGTATCGTGCAGAATAACCGCGCTGTAGTACATGATGGTGTTGATTCCGGAAAACTGCTGAATCACGTGAAGCATGCACCCGATAAACAGGCACCTCCGCACGCCCTTCGACACGAGACCACGATAGTCCATTGAAATTGGCTCTCCGTCCACGTCATCATCGGAACTACACACATCAAGCTGGAACTCGGCTGCCACCCTCCGCGCCTCACTCCGCTCACCCTTGGCAAGAAGCCACCGAGGGCTTTCGGGTAGAAAGAAGATAAGGCCAATAAGCTGAATCACCGACGGCACCCCACCAAGCCCGACGGCTATGCGCCAGCCAACGTTCTCCGACGTAAACTGCACCAGTAGAGCAGTCACGACGGAGGCAATGAGCTGTGCCCCCGTTAGGCAAATGCTGTTGAACACAACGGCAGCGCCACGCGACGCGGGTGGTGTCACCTCCGCGAGGTACACAGGAACAGTGGCGGAGCTAATGCCAATGCCAAGACCGACAATGGCGCGTCCGACCAGAACCATCTCCACCCCGCTCGCCGAAGCCATCACAACGGATCCCACAGTGAACAGTACATCAGCAACGCCAATGCACGTGCGTCTTCCCCAGCGTGCGGCGAACAGCCCGGGGAGGAATGCGCCCACGAAGGCCCCAGCAACGGCAATGCTCACGATCAGACCAGCAATCCAGGAGTGCTCGGAGAAACCGAAGTGGTCCTTCATCTGGAAGAGGGCACCATTGATGACACTGGTGTCGTAGCCAAANAGGAATCCACCGAGGGCGGCAAACACCTTCACACTCATCCGCATCTTGGGTACTTGCCTGCTTTGTGGAAGTGTTTGGGACGGAGGGTATAGCTATTGGGGAGTAACTCCCGGCCTGTTTGCTTTCTTTTACCGCTGATTTTTATCCCATAGGAAGGCAGATGGAAGCACAAGAGGTGCAAAACAGCCTGGATTTAGATGGTGGCAACGAACAAACCACATGTGCCCAACACAGTCCACACAATATACACAGCTGTATGGTACCACACACGCCACGCACACGATATCTGTCACAATTATAATGTGTTCTCGCCAGATTTATTCTTTTTGTTTCTTTTTCTTATTTTTTTGTTCATCATTTTTGTTTTGTTTGTCATACATTTACTCACTCTACTCTTTAAGAAATATATTTCCAATGCTGTCTACTTGTTTGTTTTTTGAATTGAATCTTCTGTAGGTGAACATAAATACGCTTATATATATAAACATATATATATATAGGGTTGATCTTGAATGTTTTTGACGCCATTTGAGTGCCCGACACCTGTACAACAGCCTTCAACAAGATATATACAGGAGCATACCAAAAGTGCTGCGATGTTGAGGCTAAGGAATGAGCCTCATTGATACATATTTGTAGCTCACGCTACAAACCACATCTCTTCAACAACCTATTGTGAGCGAGCCACGAAATCAACGGTAACAGTTTCATAGAATGAAACGGCGGAGTAAGTGCAGCAAGCATGAATGCATGCCCTCTACGTATCGCATCGTCTAAGAAGTATAATAGTCGAGTGATGAATTGAAAGTATGCCGAGTGTACAACTTGAAATATTTCACAGACATCTAATGTAGAGTGTTTAGTGGGTAAGTGGAGCACCCCCAACCTGCCACCAAAACAAAAAAAAATTCATATCCCCATGTGGAGCGGAGGGAAAGGCGGTGCTTTCTTCAATATCGGCTTCGTCGACAAGGGAGTGTTGCCCTCAGTTAGCTGTGCACTTCTCATTGTCAACGCCTCCTCATTCCGGGCAGGTGCTCGTGGTATTCTGTCTATGTCATCGAAGCGGGGAGGGCGCCCCGTGTTGATATGCCTAAGAGGCGCGCTGTGTTGTGCTGGAACGTTACGCAACAGCTCAAAGGGCGGCGGACATGGCTCAGGCGTCTTCAACAGCAGCTGCGGGGAGTTGTATACCTCTGAACAACGCCGCATGGATGCTTCGGGGCCGTCTACTGAAACGCTTTCGTCCACCTTTTCGTGACTTTCATTCAAACAACTAGAAAGAGTTCGCTGCGGTGACTCAAAGAGCATCTTTCGCACACTTGGAGAGTCAGCGTCGTACCGTAAGGAGTAAGCATCATCTTCGAAGAGTACGCGTGCTCCTCCTTGTGCGCAACCGCCGCCAGCCATGGCCCTTTCAAACAGCATATTCGTCCGCGCATTCCCAAGCGTGACGTTAGAGAGTGGAGTTAACCGCGGTACCCTACACTGAGTTGGTGGTACAGCGGGTCCACTCGGCCGCTTTACAGAGGTTGCAGGACTAAAGCGCAATGCCACGGGTGAAATAAATTGTCCAATAGCCCTTGAGTTTTCGTCCCTCCCCTGCGCAGACACGCTGCCTGCACCTAGGGCGCAGGAGGAGATCGAGAGACGCCTTGCCGCCTTGGAGGTGTCTGGTCCGCCACTTTGAAGTGAACGCCGCCGTGACGCGTCAACACTCTCCTGTTGAGAACGCATACGGTTGGAGTATACACTAGGGCTTGGGCTCGCGCTAATGAACGAAGACCACATGCTGCAGTGTTGACAGGAGCAAGAAAGACTCCCATCCAAATGGTTTGCTGTATGCTTGGTGTGTGAAGTGCTGCCCACTACCTGTACTCTTGACCGCTTGGTGGGTGTTTTTATGACCGAGCGGAATGTGAGTTGCGCGGGATCTACAGCCCTGCAGCATCGAAGGCGCACAGGGAACGTCTCCTCCACACCATCGTTATACGCACCCTGTTTGTGCCGTAATGGGTCAAAGAATGCGTGGCTCAGTGCCTCGTTAGCGGTTAGGCGTTCGCGTGGATCAAGGGCAAGAAAACCTTTTAACAAATCCAGAAACAACGGCGATGGCACACAAAGACTATCAAACAGCGTCGCCTCATGGGTTTTGTGTGGGTAGCTCCTAAAGTCTGTGCCGAGTTTGGCGTGAATCTGGTGAAGAACCTGAAGGTCAGTCGACCCACAGAAGGCAATGGAGCCTGTGCTAAACTCAAACATTGTACAGCCAAGAGCCCACATATCACACGCAAAATAATTCTCTGCGCGGCCTATGAACTGCTCTGGGGCCTTGTAATAAAGCGTGCCGCGTGCATTTCCAACCTTCGCGCTTTCATGCATGAAGTGCGCCGCACTGAAGTCGCCAAGCGCCGCTTTGATTCGTTCCTCCTTGGACACGACACCAACTCTGCTGTTGCTGCCACCGCATTCCACCCCTTCTGCGTCAGCGCGCTTGAGGAGAATGTTGCTTGGTTTGATATCCCGATGCGCGATACCGCGCTTATGAAGGTGAGCGATGGCCGCAACCACAGCATACAAGAGCGGACGCGCAACGTCTTCACTCATGAATGCGGTGTTTGCAGCGCGGAGCTCTCTACCAAGGTCGCTATCCATCAACTCCATCGCGAAGAACGTGACCCTACAGGAGGTGGTGCAGCTCCCAAGGAACCTCACAATGTGGGGGTGTGGACCGAGGTACTGCAGAATGGTGCTCTCGCACGGCATGTGTGCTGTACGAGAGGATTGCTGCTGTTCCGCAGACGTGGGATAGCTTGTCCCACCTGTCATATTTTCTTCCTCCTCATCCTTTTCTTCCATATCCCCCTCCTCTTCATCCTCTTCTTCTACCCCTTCGTCCGCCTCCTCCTCCTCCTCCTCTTCTTCGTTGTTGCCAGTACCGCGGCAACCCGTCCCTCGCTGCTGGCTGATTGCATCCCCGGCGCTGTCGGGGGTGAGGGCCACCCCTCTCGCTGCCCGTGTCGCTGAGTGGCCTGTGAAAAGAAGCGAGCGGCGCGAATGCCTCAGGGGGGTCGCTGCCGATGCCGCTGTTTTTTTTGCAAACACCCGCTTTACCGCCACGAGCTCGCGCGTGTGGCGGTGTTGCGCGAGGAACACCGTCCCGCTGCCCCCTGTGCCCAGCTTCAGCTTGCATAAATCGAATTCAAAGCCGCCATGCCCCTCGCAGGGAGAATGCGGCATCTCTGCTCGTCTCCCGCCGCCCCGGTGACGTGCGCTGCTGCCGCTGCGTGGGGGGTGAGGCCTCTAACCGCCTGCGGCGTCGCTTACTGCAGGCCAATGCAGCGTGAAAAAAAAAATGAGGACGGGGGACACAAAAGCGCAAAAGAATAATAAAAAAAAGGAAGGGAGTACAGAAAGATACAAGGGTATGTAAGCACGGGCTGAAAGCACAAAAACCACGAAGTTGCCTTTTTTCTTCTTCTTAAAAACCTTGTCTGCAGAACCAAAAGCAACGGGATCAACAAAACAATCAATTGCGTGGCTTATGGAGGCAAGCTGTGTATGCCCTCAGCCGGCTGTTGGCAGCAACACCTCCACACTCTCATCGTCCACCTCGCTCAGCAGGAGCTGAGCGCACCGCTGGGTGTTGCGCAGTCGACGCCGCGAATCAAGTGCGTTCATAATAATAAGGTAGCTGTTCGTTGTCGTGCAGTTGGCGGCAACGGACGCCAGAATCTCCTCACGGAAAAGACTATTTACCACATGTTGAATGGGTTGCCGCATCTCATTCATATCCTCAACTGTCATTTGGGCTTCCTCGTCCAGGAAAAGCCGGCAAATCAATCGGCGCAGAGAAACACTCATAACATCATCGTTCACCATCGTCCACAACGCCAGAAGCTTGCTGCGAGATGGCACGCACACTTCCACCGACGGCGACGAACCCACCGTCGCAGCTTCGTATGCGTATCGCCGCAGCAGACTGCGCATGACGGCGGTGTGTGAGAGATTCTCCATCGGCACCAAGAGACGCGTCGCATGGCTATCGGCTGTGAGCCTAACCATATTCAGCACCCACCTTGCCGTGTCACTGTCGCTGCCAAACACCTCCCCAATGATTTGCTGCACGGTGGCAAAGTGCACACCGCAGTCGAGGGCGGCGGCGCAGGTGGGAACACAGTGCGCCGGTGTCAGCAGGTCGGCCGCGGCTGCGACGCGCAGCACCGCGAGTGAGCGGTGCCCCATCCACGGATCCCTGCGGCCCCTCACACCGCGACGCATGGTGAGGCACACAACTGCCACGGCATCGTCCAGCGCTAGAGGGCGTGCAGCGAAAAGTGCAGCGAGCTTGGGATCCACGACAGAGAGGTGGTTCCACACGAGCCGCGCGGCATCCTCGTCACGCCCCACCCGCCGCAGCTGCCGCAACAACGGCATGCAGCAGCGTGCAAAAGGGGTGTGCACACGAAAACTGCGGAACGTTAGTGCACACACGCGGAAAACCATCAGCGGTGACAAGCCAAGACGGAGAAGAAGACGCGGGTGCCGCAGCAGTGCCCGGCTCCACTCCCGCCGCGTGGACGACCGTGGCGATCGAAGCTGCGAGACAAAGTGGCGCCGCAACAGACGCTGCTCCTCCGTCAAAACGGGGTATGACCGGTGGCGCCCAGACCGCAGGTTGTACGTCGCATCGGCACGGCAGACGGCGTCAATCAGGGCCACAATTTGGCTGCCCTGCTGAACAGCGGGCGATGTGGCACCGACGAGATGCTTCATCTCCGCCCAGAGCTCACCGGAAGGGTCTAGGCCTTTTTTGTGGAGACGCTTCAGCTCACTTCGTGGTGTGCATAGGATATCCAGGGGACTACACTGTGTGGGGTGGAGGAAGCCACTGGCGAAAGCCGGCCCCACCTGCTGCAAGAGACCCTCATCATACGAGGGGCTCTGCTCAATGACACTCCTAAAATCATCTTGCAAGATGAATGGAATAAGGTATGGCACCTGAGTGCCTGACTTTTTCGACCTTGTTGCAACCGTCGCTGCATTAATCCACGTGAGTTTTTCGTGCAGAGGTACTACGCTCTCGTCTTGCAGGAGAAGTTCGTGGACGGCCTCCACGAACAGCACACGTGTTCGCCGTGCTCCCAGTGTCGAAAAGAATCTGTAACTCTCCTCCCCCACCTCCTCCGATTCCGAACTCCTTGTAGCCACATCGGCAGAGGAGCAACTTACTCGGGAGCGACGTTTTTGGTGCTGCTCCATCACCGACTGGTGGAGCACCGATATAACCGTGCGAAGCGTCTCTACATCACCAATGACACTTAGCGTCTCCAGCGCCTTCTTTAGCTTCACTGTCGCGTGCAACTTTGCTCGTATCCGAGGTTTGACAGCTGGTGGCTGCCAACATCGCAGAACATCGAGGGCGGTGGCCGATTGCCCAGCCTCTAAAAGAATAGCAACGCATTGCGCGGCAAGCTGTAGTGGAAGTCGGTGCATTTTCCATGTCAGACCGCAACTCGAATCGGGTTGCGAGAATTGAATGACAGCGAGGGAGCTGCTCCAGGTGCTGCTGACGCGGTGTAGGGCAGCTGTGGACGGCCCCACCTCTGCCACGAGTGGAGGTTGCTGCTGCTGCTGCTGCAACGCGTTTCTACTCGTCGCTGGTGCGAGGCGGCGCGCCACTGCAGACTCCAAGAGTGAGGTCCGCCGCGGTGGACGGGCGGCCGCCCGCCCGCAGACACTCTCCAGTGCCTTAAGCCAACTCATCCAGTGCGGCTCTACCCCCACCGACGGACAGCAGCAGCAGCAGTGGCAACAAGAACAACAACAGGAAGCAAGAAAAGAAACGAAAAGGACACTGATAACATAGAACAGAGCACCAAGGATAAAATCATTCTTTCTGTTACTTGCCCCCGCGCATCCTGCTAACCCGCACTCAACTCGAGCAGCCCAGGCAGATCATCAACTGCCATACATGCACACACGCACAGACACTCCCTTCCACCCCACTCCACCGCCCCCAACTTAGCGGGGCGCCGCGACGTGAGCCGCACGAGGGAAAAGGGGGTGGATGCCAGTGCTCGCTGCACGCTCGCCTCACCCAATCCGCGGGGAGTGGGCGGACATGAGGGAGAGAAAAAAAGAAAAGAAAAAGTTCTTGCAAATAGTTGAAACACACACACGCACAGAGACGCAGATGCTCTGAGCGAGGAAGAACACCTGCACCCACGCACAAACGAACAGAGGGCGAACTAAACAAAACGTTACACTGCAAGGACTCTCTTTTGACCATTTGTGAAGCAATATCTATTCTGAAAAGAATCCTTTTTTTTTCTGTAGCGGGCATCACGCACGAGATGCCCATTCATACCGTCAAGCCCACGGAGTCACTTGCAATAGTCTAATCGCCACGACTTGGCATGCAGCACTCTGGGTGGAAGGCACCGACACCAATAACAAAAACAAGAGCAGCAGCCACAGCCTATGCTACAGCAAACAAAGATATTAATTAAAAAAAAAAAAGAATCCGGGACAACACGGCTTTTATACCAGAAGAGCAAATACTTGGCGGATTCAAGGCCACGAATAGCTCCTGGAATGCTTAGGTACTTTGTACAGGTGCAGCAAAGGGTTAACGGATGCTTCCTTTGACAGTGACCATCGTCTGTTTCTCATGGGGGGAAGCAGTGCCATACCACGCACAAAGGCACTATCATCATTCACATCTTGCTTATTACCATCAGCCTCAGGATCGCTATACGTGGCATCTGGCCCAACAAAGCTCGATCCCAAAGAGTTCATGACAGGCTTCTCCGACTCCGACTCCGACTCCTCTGGTTTACTTGTTCCAGCAACAACAGCACAATTATCCCTCTCACCTTGAACGGTATTATCATCCTGATCACCACAAGCACCATCAGTTATCTCTACAGCCCCCGTCGCAGCAACACCAACAGAAGCAGAAATGGAGGAAGCAACCCCCTGTTGGTCCGCGCAGCAAATACCATTCCTCTCTACAGTGTCTAGAATCGGAGAGATTAAAACCCGTTTTTCTGAGTTTGTTTCGCTTGTGGACAAGCAGTGCAGCGGCACCGCTGGTGGAAGTGTGAGGGAGAGGGGGGGTAACGACGACCGCCGCCGCACAGGAATAATCATCCCACACTCCTTCACACTGCTGGGCTCCTCCACCGTTCTGGAATCTTCCCCTGTTTTCCCAACATGCTGATCCACCAGAGGTGCTTCTGGAAGAAGTGGAATATTTTGACTATTTTTCCCGGTCGCATGCTTCACATTGTCGCTCCGCTCATCAGTGTTGGCATCCCCCTTCGGCTCCTCCTTCTCAGCATCACTCTTATGTCCTTCCGCAGCCTCCGACGCCATCAGCAGAGAGACCGATGAGATAGACCCTACGTCGCCTGTAGCGTCAGCAGGCGGGTCTCGGTCGTTCATGCCGTTCGCGCATGTACACTCCTGTTCACTAAAAGCGTGCGCCTCCTCTTTTTCCCCCACAGTGCAAGAGTTCCCGGCAACTTCGACATTATCACGGGGGATTCCGTCGGTGCGCTCGAGATGACTGGCTTCAGAGCCCACCTCCGCCGTGTGTGCGCCAACCATCTGCGAAGCCAGGCTCTCAAGCCTCACAAAGCTTTTGTTTGCCCCGGTGCCATCGCTGCTGAGATCGCACTTTGCAGAACAGAGAACATGGCTTTTGCTGCTTGCACCTTGTACCATGTCGCTACCAGCGGCAAGGAATACGACTTCATTTGCGTCCTGTTGCAATGGAAGTGGGACGTCGGGAGTAGGGCCCTCCTTCAACTCCAGCGAGTCCCGGCACAACGGGTCACGGTGCAGGGTTGCAACGGCAGTTGGCACGACAGAATCCGTGGGCGTTTCATCGTCACCATTTCGACTGCCAGGGCTACAGCTCGTGCATGTGATGTCATCCATTGTCTCACCCAACGGTGTAACAGGCCACGTCTCATCTACATGCTCCCGCGTTGCTGCGTAGCGTGGGCTCTGCAGAATGGAGGGGTGGAGGTACCAGTTACGAGGAATTACAGACTGTGGGAGCTCACTGACGCGCGTGGGGCCGGACGGTTGGGCCTTTGGGGGCTCCTCGTCGATTAGGCGGTGTACGTACGCAGCTAATTTGTTGGGAACAATTTTGTTGCACACACGCGCCGCACGGTTGCACCAATCCGGTACCCGAAGTTTCTCTACAGTGGAGAGGAGATCACAGAACCGCTGAGCAAAGTGATTGCAGTTGTGGCTAAGAATATGGTAGTCGCAGCTGCGCCACTCATTCTCCAGCCTGTGGAGGATTGTGTCCACCTGCTGTGGTGAGTGTGTAGTAACACCAAGAAAGATTGTGCGGTAGAGTGTACCAGCGGCCTGCCCCGGGTAGACGCAGAAGAGCCCAGTGGAGCTTGCCGACTCCGCGGACTCCCCGTAGCCCCACTCGATGCCGTACACGACAATGCCGCTGTGGTAAACGCCCATTCCTAGCTTCTTGAGCTTCTTGTTGTGGTGCAGCAGACTGTAGACGTTCAGCTGCACCATCACCTCCACGACGCGCTGCGAGAGGAGCGTCGGGGGTGGGCAGCGTTCAAGGCCTTTACCCTCCATCTCATTGGTCGCATTTCGCTTCTCTGCTATCACGTCACTCTCATTCTGGCAGCAACAAAAGACCATTTGCTTCTTTTACTCCTTCTTTGCGTTATTATTTCTTGGTTTCTACTCTTTCAGTGACTGTTCCCTGCGTTTTTTTTTTTTCNTTTTTTTTTTCTTTTAGTTCCCTCCTCCTTCGACTGTTCCACGATGGACAGAAAGATGCTACACCCTCTTTGTGTGTGGAATATCACACTTATATCTCCAACACTGAGAGCGTGTGTGTGTGTGTGTGTGTGTGTGCCTCACCGTCGTCGCCGCCTCTGCCCAAAGCACTGGCGGGGCAACAGAAAGGAATGCACTGCAGCGGGGAGAAAGCGTGATATATGTTGTTGTTGTTCGGGGAGGAGGTTGGATGCAAACAAGAGGAAAAAGTGGGGGAAAAAAGCGTCGCATGATTCATTGATCAGTGGAAAGAAGAAAATAGAATGACCGCTCTCGATTTTGATCACTTAACAGAGTGATATTTCATCGACGATGGGTGTCTCAGCCTCCGCTGAATCGATTGCTTACAGAAACTAACAGGAAACCAAAAAAAAAATATAGAAATATGGTAGCCAGGTCAGCTTTCTGGCGTGTGTTGGTGGAGGGGGGCAACGCAACATCACTGTTGGTTTAAAGCTCTGGTGAGAAGACGGTTGATAGTATTGTTATTTGCACCATCACACAACGCTCTTCTCCCCGCACGCCGTAGTTCTATGATTGTTGGAGCAGTTCCCCTCGTTGCAGTCACCGCTTTGTGCTGTGGTATACGTCACACTCGTGGAGGGCGTCGATCCCGTGTCCGTGTCCGTGTCGTCACGGCCGGTCTGGCAGCGTTTCCTCCGTCTGGNACGTCACACTCGTGGAGGGCGTCGATCCCGTGTCCGTGTCCGTGTCGTCACGGCCGGTCTGGCAGCGTTTCCTCCGTCTGGGTGTAAGCGTCCCCTCCAATGTGTCCTGTCGCTTGATTGGTCCAGCCTTTGTGACACACATTCTTGCGTTTATTGCCATGAGCTGCATCTTTTCTTGCTCAAGCAACATCACTCGCTCCTGGAGGCTCGTGATCATCTCGTTATACTTGTGGCGCTCACGATCGAAGGCTGCATTGCAGCGCACACAAATACGATACGCCTTGGCGTTACGCGCGGAACCCCCCGACGCAGACCTCTCGCCGTTAGCCTTTGTGCCGGGCGAGCCTGCACGCGCCTCCTCTCCCCTTGTACCGGTGCTGACNCCCCCCGACGCAGACCTCTCGCCGTTAGCCTTTGTGCCGGGCGAGCCTGCACGCGCCTCCTCTCCCCTTGTACCGGTGCTGACGGAGCGGCTGCCATCCGTGTGGGGTGGCAGCCGCGGAATTGGGGATCCGCCACGCTGTGATGTTGGCAGAAGGCTTTTCGTTGTTCTTGCTCCTTCTGCTAAAACTGAGAAGGGGGCATGCGGCAGCAGCGTGTGGAACGAAGGAGAGGTCTCCTTAACGAGCTTTGACGATGGTGCCATTGACGCTTCTTCCTCCGGCGACATCCTCCCATACGCACTCCCGGCAGTGCAGGTTGTGGTGAAAACGGAGGGGGGCTTTCCTCGCACCATTGGGCCCAGTGTTGATGAAGCACCGCTCGGCACGCCGCTCGTTGAGCGTAGAAAGCACGTGAGCGACGATTGTGGCAGCAGCCCCCTCCGCTCCATGCTGCCGGAGCGCGATGTGCGCATGGTACTGGCACTCCGCGCGCGCCCCATCTCCGAATCACACCAGTTCCTCCTGCTGCTGTTGGTACTGCCCGTACGCGCAAAGGGCGACGCGTGCGAAAACGACGCCGCACGGTGCCTTTGCGGGCCGAGGGACGCCCGAGGCAGGGACTTGCCCAACTCCAACAGGTTGATGCCGAATAGTCTCGCGAGCGGCACCTGGTGTCCAACGCGCACCATCTCCACCGCGAGAGGCTCGACGCTGCGGTCAATCTCCCAGCAGCCCTTACGCGTCGCCGCCACCCCGCCACGCACCGACAGGAAAAGAACGCGACACAGCGACGTGAACTCATCAACATCATCCATTGTGCACAGCTCCATCTCGTCCGCCTCCACCTCGCGGCGGAGGAGGTTATCGTACACATTTGGGAAACGGTACACGAGGGCGCGTGTTGTGGCAATAAAACGCTCACGCACTTCCTTAATACTGCGAGTGCCGTTTGGAAGAATACGATACTCACTGTTGTACAGCTTCCCGTCAATCTCCAGTTTGGCCACGACTGGCACAGGGTTGTCGTTATCAAGGCGGATGCTAAATGCGTCTTGCTTCATTAGTACATAAGCCGCAGGTGAGGTCCCGACGATAAACATTGGGCAGAAGCATTCGTCTTGTATAAAGCGGACACGACAGCTGGAGCCCACTTGGCTGATGCGCCTTGCACGAATTGTCTCCGTAGCACCTCCCTCGACGCGCATTCCATGTATTTCGTCCGCGACACCAGTGGATCCACTGCGGTGCGAGAGCGAGCTGAGAGATGGAGTGACTCCCAACGAATGCATAGCTACAGCAGCACAGCACGTGGCACTGGTGGTCCGTGGGAATGGAATAGCAACACCTACGGGAGTGATAGGGTGCTGCTGCTTCTTCCACACAGCTGGACCAGGGAGCGACGCCAGGGACACGCAGCACCAATCTGCACCTACAGAGCACCGAGCGCTAACGACTAGACGGAAGGAGAGACTTCAACAAAGAAGGAGTAAGACAAGACAAAAAAAAGAAAAGAGAGAAGTGACGTATGCATCTGCGCGGGTGGGTGTATGTGTATGTGCTGGCACGAGAGCGCATCGCTGCACACCGATGCCCACACAGGCACACACACACACACACACACACACACACACACNCACACACACGCTCTGCCCACCTCTCACGAGCGAGGGCGGGGGAAATAAGCGAGAGGACAAAGAGCGCAAGGCAGTAATTCAATATGAAAGGCGCACCACCTATCCTCTCCCTTCTCCTTCTTGTGCACGCACTCATCCTGTCCTGAATGTGAGAAAGAAGGAATACGCAATATCTACCTTTGGGATGCAGAAGGTCTCTCTCTCTCTCTCTCCCTTTTTCTCTCTCTCTCTGTTTTTCTTCTTTTGTTTATGCGAGGGAAGGGGGTTGTCTCCACTGCTTCCTTGTTGTTTCCATGCCCGTGCTCCTTCTCCATTCCCCTCCACCACCAACTCCCCCCATTTTCTGTTGTTGTTGTTGTTGTTGTTCTTTTTTGTTTTTTTTTTGGTTTTTTTTTTGTCTTTCCCCCCCTTTTTCATAAACATCTTGTTTATCCTCACCGTCTGCTGGCTCGGGCTCCTGCGCGTGACCTCTCGTCGCTCCCGCTGGCCATGCATAGGCGCAGTCCACACACGGCGCGCGCAACAACATGAAATAACGTCACGAACACAATGTGCACACAAAAATCAGACAAACACACACGAAGGAAAGAAGCGTTCTTCCGTGTCACTTCCGGCCCTTCATCGACGAGTTCAGCGTACAGGAGAGCTCCTCCTCCTCGCGCAGCATGCCGGTGATGCTGTTCAGCAGTCCAAGAATTGTTTCGGTGTCCTGCTTCTGTCGCACCAGAAGCGTACGCACGCGGCCCACGTACTCGTCAACAGAGTCAGAGTCCTCAAAGGCCTGAATCGCGCGAATCTCCTCCTTGATGCCTGTCATTTTGGTGTCGATGTGGCGGCGGTGGAAAGCCACGAGTTTCTCCTCTGCCTTCGCAATCTCCTCCACGACATGCGCGTGCACCTTGCGGACCTGCTTCTCCTCGCTCTTCGCCAGCGCGCCGAGCGGCGTCCCTCCGGTGCTGTCATCGTCCTCGTCCTCCTCCTCGTCGCTCTCGTCGTCGAGGGCGGCGATGTGGTTCTGCACGATCGTCGCGATCTTAGGGTCCCGCACAATAATCTCCGGCTTGGAGTGCCGCTCCTTACCCGCAACGCCACCGGCTGGCCGATTGGCGCGCTGCCGCGGCGGCGGCGGCTTCGCCACCTCGTTGCTGCCGTTGCCCTCCTCCTCTGCAGGCCGATCGCCGTCCGGCACGCCAAAGTTATCGACCCACTCGGGGCGGGATTTGATTGGCGGCGGCGGCGCCTCAAAAGGCCTCGCCTTCTTTACTGGCCGCCGCTCCGCCTTCTCAACGGGGACCGCCTTGGACTCTCCGCCGAGGTCCTTCACGCGCTGCGTGTAGCGTAGCGTGTTCAGCGTGTTCACGCAGTGCGCAGAAGTGGGCGAGATGGTCGCAATCATTGTCGTGCGGCTGTTGCCGACGAAGGAGTCGCGTAGGACTTCAGTCAGGATGGAGCCACGAAAGGGAACATGCGACTTGCCCATTCCCAGGGCACGAATGCACTCCTTCAATGCGAGGAGGGACTTGTTGATCTCCGCACCCTCCATGCGGGTTTTGCGATCACAGTCGAACGTATCGGCACCCCGCTCATTACCAGCTAAGTCAATGAAAGATATGCGCCCAATTGTCTTGCTGCGCCGATTGCTCGGTTCACGCACCTCCAGCTGCAGGACGGCGTGTGAGCGGCTACTCTCGCTGTTAGCGCTGGTCTGCCCAGCAGCCCGGTACGCGCTGCCACGGGAGATGATGTCAAACAGGCCTTGAATGTCCGTCACCTTGTGCTCACTCAAACCGCAAATATTGATAACTTTCTCCGCGTCTTCACGCGCCACTAACCGCTCCTTGTTGTTGAGCAGATCAAAGATCTTTCGGCCGTAAATTTCATAGAATGAGATGTACACCTCCCCGTTGAGTGGGGCGGCACGTGAGAAGATTTCCTTCGCCGCGATCGCGTAGAGACCAGCCTCGTGGTCATTACCTAGCATTGTGTGCGTCTTGCCACTGCCAGTCTGGCCGTAGGCAAAGCAGGTAGCGTTGCCATGGTTGAAGATTGTGTCAATGAGCTTGGAGCAGCAGCGCTGATACACCAGCGCATTGTTGGAGTTTTCATCCAGTACAGTATCGTACGTGAACTGGTGCCGCTCAGTGTAGGGTGTCAAGTCGTACTTCACCTTTGGCTCATTCACCACGAGGTGAGGCGACTGCACAATCACAATGTCCTTGTCCGCGTCAGCGGTGGGACGCTTGCGCACGGCGACGCAGATGCGACTACTGTTCATCGCGTCCCTGTGAGATACACACACACACACACACGCTTACACAATCCAACAACGCCCTTCCAAAAAAAAAAAAAACAACACTCAGCTCCTTTTGCTCTGAGTGCCACAGTTTGTTTTGGCTGCAACAAGAGAGCGGCCTTGGTGGTTCCTTTTTCCTTTTTCTTTTTTTGTTGCCTTTTTTTACTGCTCCTCGTCCTCACAGTAACGCGCAGGATGCAGAAGCGAGAACAAGCCAGTGAGGGATGGTGACAGCTCACTTCTTCTTGAGCCAGTCACACGAAAAAAAAAAAGAGCACACGCACACAAAGGCCAAGGAACAACAGCAACAACAAGACGAATCGGGGCAAAAAGGCAGCAACCACAACAACAACAACTGCAAGGATTGAAAGGGACACGTGCAGCAATAAAGCACAGGAGGAGATCACCACGACAAAACACCAAGGCGAACAAAAAACAAACGCTTTCAAATTATTCACAGACACAGACAACACACATACATAGAAGAACATATATATATATATATATGTGCTTGCGCGCCAGCTCCTGCTGCTGTGCAGAAACAATTTATATTCACTCAGCTTTACCTCTCTCCTTCGTTTTTTCCCCCTTTGGGAGGCAGCTTACCCACACACGCGAGACGGCCTACACCTTGCGCGTATCTTTTCGCTTGGGGCGCATCACCGTCGTCACGCTGTCTCGGTGGCGGCGTGCTACGGCTTCTCCGCTGACACGGCAGTGAGGCGATTCAGGGTGCCCATGGTGTACTCCTTCGCGGCGAAGCAGGCGGCGTTGGCAGGGAAGGCACGCAGGAGTGCTGGCGCAATGCCACGATAAAACCCCTTAATGCCGCGCTCCTTGAAGACGGCGCGAATCGCCGCCGTCGCGCTTATGCCCTCGTGACTCGCCTGCACGCGTGTCTTGATGACGTCCAGTGGGATCGCAAAGGACCACATGCCAAGCCCGCCCATGCCGCCAGCGAAGAGCGCCTCCGATACGGTCGGCTTCTTCGGATCCGCACAGACGGCCATCTTTGTGTACTCGTAGGCGCCAAACCACGCCATGCTTCCAGGCACATCGCGCAGCATTGTCGCCCCGGTGCCGCGGAAGAAGCCGCGCAAACCCTCCTTGTGATAAATCCGCGATATCACACCGCGAAGTGAACCGTCCGCACCTGAGTTGAGCGCCGTCTGCTGGCGGATCTTCAGAAGCTCTGCGGGCCCCAACACAAGGGACCCAAGCACGCCGGTGCTGCCACCGCAAATCATCACGCTTGTCATCGACAGCGGCGTGTGCGAGTCCATATCCTTAACCCAGCGGATGAACTTTTCGGTCGCATCGTACGCGAGAAAGTAAAGAGCGAAGACGACGCCAACGCCACTCATCGGGGCGACGACCCCTTTGTAGAGGGCGAATGGACCACCCTTCTTGACAACACTCACCACGCAGCCCACAGCGCTCGTGTGCTCGCCCTTGCTGTCCTGCATCAGCGTCTTGACCGTGTCGAAGGGATGACCCACGAGCAGGTTTCCAATCCCGCCCACCCAGCCGCCAATGAAGCTGTTCAGTAGGTCCATATGTATAATNTATATATATATATATATATTTCTTCTTCTGCGCTCTTTCTTTTTCGTCCGTGTGTGGTATGTGCGTGTGAGTCTATATGGGGAGGAGCTCCTCTTCTGTACAACCCCACCGCCTTCCTACGTCAGACGTACCCTTATCTCACACCTACGTCAGTGGAGTGTTGTCCTCCCCGCTGCATTTGTGTTTGGGGTGCGTCACACACCACGAAAGAAGAGAAAGAGACGGAACACGTCCAGTAGACAACACCGTCGGAGGTGCTTCACCTACACAGGGAGAGGAGAGAGATGTATATACAATCCAGGANGAGCCTCACAAATAAACTGTCGCCTGCTTTCCTAACCGTATCATCGTCGACACTAACCTACGCTCAGATATCTTTCTGTCTCTCTTTTTTAAAATTCTCAGTGCTGCTTTCTTTATTCCCATTGGTCTCCTATTCTTTTTCTTGCCCCCACCCTCAAGTACACCGAAACGTCCTGCCCCCAAACGCCTGTGCCTCATACACTGCGCGATGGCCGAGGCGTCGGGCCCATTTCTACTACCATTGTTTTCCTCCGCACCCTGTCCACACGCCCCTGTTGGTGGGCCTGTGCTTCGCTCCTACACGTTGTGCAACCACTATGCACGGCAGCAACTATGAGGTCAGCAGAGTCTGCGGGGGCGTCTACATCGCAGAGGAAAAACAACAAAACGATGCCTTCGTCCGGTCCCGCATCACACCGCCGGTCACAACTACTGCACACCACTTACGCTACACACATCAACTCCCCTACGAGAAGAGCATCAGGAAGGCAAGCATCAGCGCGAAGAGGCCGATAGCCTCCGTCAGGGCGAAGCCAAGAATGGCGTAGTTGAACAGCATCTTCGTCAGGTTTGGCTGCCGCGCGCAGGCGACCAGCAGGTTGCCGAAGATGGTGCCAAT